AAAAAAAAAAAAAAAACAAAATCCAATAATATGCTGTGTACAAGAAACAGATTTAGTTCAAATAGAAATTCATAGATTGAAATTCAGAGGATGAAAAACAATACTCCATGTGACAGGAATCCAGGAAAAATCAGGGGTAGCTATTCTATTTGCAGATAATGTAAACTTCAAATCAGGAAATATCAAAAGATACAAGGCAGGTCACTACATACTTGTTAAGGGATAACTTCAAGAGGAAGAGATAACAATAATAGATATATATGTACCAAATAGTGGAGGACCCAACTATATAAGACAAATTTTAATGTTTTTGTTTTCCTTTTTGGGGCGTACTGAGAATGGAACTGAGGACTTTATGCTTACCAGGAAGGCACTTGTACCACTGAGCTATATCCCCAACCCCAAGACAAATTTCAACAGACATGAAAAACCAGGTGATAACACAATTGCAACCAGGGAGCTTAACACTCCATTGTAACAAACAGATAGGTCAACTGGACAAAAAATAATCAAGAAATAATAAATCTGAACCAAACTTGTGAACAAATGGACTGAGTAGATGTTTACAAAGAGTGTTCCACACAATAATATCAGAATACACATTCTCAGCTGCACACAGGACATTCTTTAAAATAGACCATATACTAGCCCATAGAACATGATTAAGTAAATGCAGAGGAATTGAAATTATCCAATGCTTATTATTTGATCTTAGTGCAATGATGTTGGAAATTATTGACAAAAGAAACCACAAAAACTCCATAAACACAAGGAAATTGAATAACATCCTCCTGAACAACAAATGGGTCACAGATGAAATTAAATAAGAAATTAAACAATATCTACAATCAAATGAAAATGCAAATACAACTTAAGGGAATCTGTAGGATACAATGAAAGCAGTCCTCAGAGGAAAATTTCTAACATCAGGAAAACAAAATGAGCACAATTAAAAAATATAGTGCTATACCTCAGACTTCTAGAAAAAGAGCAAGTCATGTCCTAAGCCCAAAGAAGGAGGCGATTATAAAGATCAGAGCAGAAAGTAACACAAAGGAGACTAAGAAAACAATAGAAAGAATTAATGAATCTAAGGGTTGGTTTGTTTAAAGAATTAATAAAATTGATAAACCCCTAGCCAACCTTATCAAAAAAGAGAAAAAACTCAAATTCATGCAATAAGGAATGAAAAGGATGATGTCACTACAGATCTTATAAAAATTCAGAAGGTCATCAATAGCTACTTTGAAAATCTTTACTCTCATAGGATGGAAAACAGGAGAAATGGGCAGATTCCTAGAAACATATGATTACCAAAGCTGAATCAAGAAGATGTAAAAATTCTGAATAACCAATATTAGTCAATAAAATTGAAAAGGTGCTTAAAAATTTACCAACAAAGAAAAGCCCATGTCCTGATGGATTCACAGCTGAATTCTACAAGAAATTTACAGAAGGTTTAATGCCAACACACCTCAAACTCTTAAATGAAATTGAAAGGGAAGTAATTCTCCCTAACTCATTCCTGGAGACAACTATTACTGACACCAAAACCATAGAAAGACCCAACCCAAAAAGAGAACAACAGACCAATTTCCCTAATGAACATAGATGCAAAAATTGTCAATAAAATATCAGCACATAGAATACACAGATCATCAAGAAGATTAATGCCAGGGATATAGCTCAGTGGCATAAGTGCCTGCCTGGCAAACACAAGGTCCTGAGTTCAATTCCTGGTACAAAAAAAAAAAAAAGAAGATTATACACTATGACCAACTGGAATTCATCCCAAAAATGCATGGATGGTTCATTATATGAAAATCAGTAAATGTTATAAACCATATCAACAGAGCCAAAGACAAAAATCACACAATCATCTGAATACATGCAGAAAAAGCTTTTGATAAAGTCCAACACTCATTCATGATAAAAACCCAACAGAAAATTGGAATAGATGGTCTTTACCTCAATCTGATAAAAACTATATGACAAATGAACAGCCAACATTGTACTAAATGGACAAAAACTGAAAGCACTCACCCTGCAATGAGGAAAAAGACAAGGATATCCACTATCACCACTCCTGTTCAATATAGTTCTGGAAACATTAGCCAAAGCAATTAGACAGGAGAAAAAAATAAAAGCAATAAAGAGAGGAAAGGAAAAAGTGAAAAGATGACATGATACTCTATATAGAAGGCCCCAAAATCTCCACCAAAAGACTTCTAGCTTTAATAACCAAATTCAGTAGCATAGCTGGATACAAAGTCAACACTCAAAAATCAATAGCATTCCTGTACACAAACAACAAACTCACTGAGAGAGAAATTGGGAAAAGCATACCTTTCACAATAGCATCCAAACAAATGAAATACTTAGGGATCAATCTAACAAAGGAAGTAAAAAAAAATCTATACAGTGAAAATTACAGTACTCTAAAAAAAGAGATCAAAGAGGATTTCAGAAAATGGAAAGATTTTAAAAAAAGGAAAATGGAAAGATATCCCTTGCTCATGGATAGAAAGAAACAACATTGAGAAAATGGCCATACTCCCAAAACTGTTGTACACATTCAATGTAATCACAATCAAAATACCAACAGTATACCTCACAGAACTAGAGAAAACATTCCTAAAATTCATCTGGAACCAAAAGAGACCTAGAATAACAAAAGCAATCCTGGGCAACAAAGGCAAAGCAGGAGGCATTACAATCCCTGACTTGAAAGTATACTACAAACCTACTGGGATAAAATCAGCACAGTATTGGCAAAAAAAAAAAAAAAACAGACCTGAGGGTCAATGAAACAGATTAGATGATGCAGACACAATTCCAAACACACTTAGCCACCTTATCTTTGACAAAGGGGCCAAACATAAAATGGTACTATTAAAACTGGCTTTCCACATGCCAAAGACTAACACTAGACCCCAGTCTATCACCATGCACTAAACTAAAGTCAAAACGGATCAAAGATCTAAATATTAAAACAGAAACATGAAAGTTACTTGAAGAGAAAATAGGTGGAAATCTTGAAGACATAGGAGTAGGCAGAGAGTTCATGAACAAAAACTCAACTGCACAAAAAATACTTCAAAGAATCAACAACTGGGACCTCATCTTATTAAAAAGCTTTCGCTCATCAAAAAAAAAAAAAAAAAAAAAATTGCCAGCAGAGTGAAAAACCCACAAATTGGGAAAAAAATTTAGCCAACTGTCCCTCAAACAAAAGGACTTCTATCTAGAACATATAAAGAATTTAA